GAAATTGAACTTTCTAGTGATGATGAAGACACACCTCTTATCTTTCATAAGAGACAAAAGTTAAAGAAACCAGCTCCCCTCCATGAATCTCGTCCAAAACCCAAAATTAAGATTACAGCCAGCAGATCTAGACATGCTCCCATCATTATCCAAGAACCAACTGAGCAAGAAATAGCTTCCAGAATGAATGATCCTAGTGAGAGTGATAATTCAAGCCTTGGTATTGAAGTTTCTCCGAAGGTAATATTTTCGACCATCGAAGACCCTTTTTTGAATCAATTTGCCATAGTTCTAATAACAATCTCTTAATTTTCAGGATACTGCGGGTACTTCTAAACAGGCTTCCAAACCTGCAAAATATTCGACCACCCCAATAAACAGCGAAGGCAATCCAACTCACAAGCCTTCTCCAACAAAGGGATCTTTCTTAAGCTCAAACAATAAAGTGAACCAAACTTCGGACCCATAGGTTGAAGTCACTGAGGAGCAATATAATGAGATTTTTAGTGAGGAGGATTTGGATTTGCAACATGCTAACCTGAGGACTTCGCCAACTGCTGATGATGATCAGGGAGAAGAAGAAGTTGCTGATGATGAAGTCGAAATAGAAATGGAAGGCACACAAAACAAAGAAGATGACAATCCTACAACTGCTGAGAGAGATAATCTTACAAAAAAGGAAAGGAACCCCACCAATGTCGAAAGTGCCAATGCTGATAATGTGGCTCATGCCACTAATGAAAATGTTCCTTCGACTGGGTCTCGCACAAAAGAAGATTTGGCACTGCTCAAAAGGAACAATTGTCTTGGCTATTTGAACGCCATTCTTGAAAGTAGAGAAACTTCCTCTGACCAAAGCCGTGATGCTTCGACTGTGTCTTGTAAATCTACTTCAAATTCTCCTATTGAGGAAGCACTTCAAAAGGTTAAGGCTCAAATTTTCAAGAGGGATCTGATGTTGACCTTAGAGGGAGAACCCACTTCCCCTTCCTTTCTGAAAAGCACTCTCAAAGTTGTTGATCTCCTTGTTGTTTCCCCAGAAATAGCTAGCATCATCTTGGACCTGACTTCGATCATAGATCAAGCTTAAGCTGACTACACTCACCACAGGACTCTCAATCTCGAAATTGAAGAGGCAAATGGTCGCGTTTCTGCTGCTTGGGTTGCTACTGCTGAATCAGCTTTGAGGCTAAATGAGTTATCGAAAGAACAAGAAGTCGGGAAAAAGGAGGTCGAAGAGATTGACCAAGACACTGCTAGCATGAGAGCTCAAATCAAAGAATTGGAGGCTAAGATTGCTGCGAATGACAAATGCAGAGAAGAGCTTCTTGCCAGCAATGACTCTGAGAACCAAAGGAACTTGACAATGGACTAAAGTATGCTGAACAAGCCCAAGCTTTGGATGCAAAGATCGAAGCTCTCCATCAATCGAGGGCTTTATGTGAAAGGCGCTTGGAACTTCAGAAGATCAAATATCTCCAGATTAAGGTTGCCCTTCCATTTTGATCAGGCTTCTCTTCTTTTGTTCAACCATTATTTTGTAACGAATATTTGAATCCTCAGAATGGGCATATGTAATATTTTAGAGCCATTTTGGCTAACTTAATTAATTATCCATTTTGGCTATCTGCTTAGACTAAGGTCAATTGCTGATGATTTTAACTTCTTGAAGTGAAGGTCTATATTTTTTCAAATATTTACCATTTACTTTCAAGAGTCTTTTATCTTCACTTAACTCTTCGATCTCATATACACCACCAGAAAATAATGGGATAATCTTGAAAGGTCCTTCCCATTTAGGGGACCATTTTCCCATGTTCCTATGCTTTCGATCCACTGGGAAAAATACTTTCCACACCAAATCTTCAGGTAGGAATATCTTAGGTTTTACTCTCTTATTATAAGATTTTTTCACTCTTTTCTTCTGTATCCTTAAGAGGTCGAAAGCCCTTAGTCTTTCTTCGTCCAAATCAACCAGTTCATCTAACATCACATTCCAATAAGATTTAGAAGGAATATCCTGATGTCTTTGAATTCTTATTGACTGCAGACAGATTTCTACTGGTAACACTGCGTCATGACCATAGGTTAATCGAAATGGTGTTGTATTGGTAGCTTCTTTAGGAGAAGTTCGACATGCCCATAAGATTTGGTCTAACATCTTATGCCAATTGTTTGGCTTTTTTCCTACATGCTTTTTTATTAAGCCAATTACTACCTTATTTTCTGCTTCGATTTGGTCATTGGCTTGCGCATAATAAGGTGTAGATGTTAACAACTTGAATCCCATTTCTGTAGCAAATTCTTGCATTTTTCGACCAGTAAATACTGATCCTTGATCAGTTGTTATTGTCTTAGGGGTTCCAAACCTATATATAATGTTCTTTTGAATAAATTCAATGATATTTTCTTTGTCTACATTGACTAAAGGAATTGCTCAATCCATTTAGTGAAGTAGTCAATTCCCACCAATATATATTTTTGGCTCATGATAGGATTTGAATGGTTCATGTTTACCTCCAACTACTATAAAAAAACCCCACTTCTTATAATTTGTCATACCACAACACCAAAAACCAAAAGTAGACATGAAATTGAACATCAAATGGCATGTTGGAGTTATCCCTTTTACTGGCGCTACACCATCTCGAGAATTTAAGTTCACCGTGTACACCCCTATTAAAGATGTGCGTCAAATATTGCAGGAACTTGTACCTTATGGCGACAATCGCAAGGTACTGATGATCGAGTACCGCTCGCAATTGGTTGACAAAGATGGGAAGTTTAAGTTCATGAACCGTGAGCGGTAGAACGACGCTGATTTACATGCTATGTAGAATACTTTTGACAGTTTTGAGGAGAAAGTTCTGATCGAGCTAGATGCGACTATAACAAGATCGATCGATGATATTATCATGATATTGCAACGTCCACCTGGACGTTGATTTGTAATGTTTGATTTATGTTTAACTCCTAAATGTATTTGCTATGTTTATGTTATGAATTTTATTGTGAGATTATGATGCAATTCAATAATGCTTTTTGGTTTCTGTAAAGAATAAAACCGGAAATACACCTCCGATTTCAAATTGAAATTAAATTTTTGGTTTCTATATATACTTTATTAGATCTAGGTGCACACCAGAAGCATACTTCCAATTTTTAGGGGTATTTATGGAATTTTACATGGTGTGTAAGAAAATTATGTGATAGATTAAGAAATTCACTATTAGTAACTTCAAGTAGTTGACTTAGTGGTAAGATGCTCTTGCATGAGGAAAACTAAGGTTTAGGGTCCAAAACTCATTGATACCATTTTTTAATATTTTAATATCCAAAACAAAAAATATTACTCTCTCCGGTCATTTTTATAAGAGACATTTCACCTTTTTAGATTTATTGAATAATGAATGTATTTACTCTGTATTTTGATTTAGTCTCGTAATAAAAAAATCAATAAAAAATTTATTTTCAATTTTTTTCATTTAAAAAAAAATAAAAAATTCACAAGAATTTTATAAAATAATTAAAAATTAAAATAAAAACCAAATGGACATGTCACATCAACAAAATTAAAGATTATATATCATTTGATCAACTAACGGATGAAAGACACCGAATCTTAACAATACAGAGACTAATTTTTTTTTGCTAAAAGAGGTGATATATTTTATCATTGAATATAAGTTTGCATTAAGTGGTGATATGTTTATACTGTTTAGTTTTAAAATAAATTTTTATTAACATTTTCTTTTAGAAAACACTTTAAACATAAAATGTGTTACAAGATAGGTTTTTAGTAATAAGTATAAAATATGAAGTTTGATAAAGGGTCCGTTTATTTTACTTTTAAAAATAATTTTTTATATTAAAATAAATTTAATAAAATTTAATATTTTTTTGTAATATTTATTTTATTAATATTAAAATAATATTTTTATATTAAAAGAAATTTAATAAAATTTTATATTAAAATAAAATTTAATATTTAGTTTTGAAATATTAAAATAAATTTAATTTATTTTTTACAGATTAAAAGAATATTTAAAACATATTTTTCCTCGTCCAAATAGATAATATTAAAACAAGAGTAGTTTTTAGAAGTTACAGGGGTGTGAAAAGAAACTCTAATAAAAAATAGATTTCTATGAAATAAAATAAAAAATGAATGTGCCAGTTTAATCCTCATGATCATCCAAGCAAAGAAAAAGAAGAGAATCCAATGAAAACCAAAATGAAATGTGGGTAATTAATGGCTTTTTCTTTAAGCTATTATAATGTTTCAACTAAAAGCCAATTTGTTGAGCCACTTTACAATTTCTCAACATTGAATATTAAGAATGGCCCTCATTAGGACTACTAAGTCACAACTAATTCTTAAGGCTAAAAGTTTTATAATTATTGAATCGGTTACCATTCTTATTTTAATCCTTTATAATCTTTATTGTTTAAGAGGAGTTGTTGGATTAACTTGCAGACAACAACTAAAGCCAGAAATTGCAAGACTCTTACACAATTTTTTTATATATTATTTAGATATCTTCTATGCTTATCTTTAGAGATTAGTTAATTTTTTTATATATTTTTAGGATAAAGAAAAATGAAAATTTAACTTAGACAAAAACATATTCAATTTAAGCAAAAAAAGAAAAAAGACATTAGAATCATGACAGCACCACTTGACATGTGTGGAATCACTTAAACTTTGACAAAGTAAACCAATCACTTTCAATACCAAAACATGTCCATTTTATGACTCTAACAAACACCAACTTTTCATATTAAATTAAAACTACCAAACTATCCCTATTCAATTTCATGGAAGGCCAACAACAATGAACTGCTTCCACACTTTTGAAACTGTCACCAAAACAAAACAAAAAACCAATAACTTAAAGACAAAACAAACATAAATTTTTTCAGTTATTATCAAATCAATCAATGAACACAAAAAAACCTAAAAAAACATCATATTTTTTCTCACAAACCTCATTTCCTTTATGACTTTCCACATGATCCTTATTTTGTGTCTTGTTTTTCACATTTTTTCAACACAAATATGTTATTGCCAAAATAATTCTCCTCAAAACATAGAAACTTTCTACCAAAATGAAACTGTAGTTTCATCACCACCAAAGGCACAACCTTCATCACCACCACCTCAAGGACTAACTGCGGTATCGAAAAGTAGTTCGTCGAACGGTAAGATAGCGAAAGCTGTGGCTGCAACTGCAGCAAGCACTATAGTTATTTGTGGTTTAATTTTCATTATAGTAAAAAGGTGTTTAAGAAAAAGAAAGAGAAACAACATTGTTTCTAATGGTGATAATAGACAACAAGTTGATGTGCCTAGAGGGAATGTTTTTGAAAAGATTGATGGAAATGTGAGAGGATTGATTGTTGATGAAGATGGTTTGGATGTGATTTATTGGAGAAAACTTGAAGAGAAGAATTCTAACAAGGATCTTTATAAGGACATAATCTCGAATAGTCCGAAAAACAAAGTTGAAGAAGATCAAGTGAAAAAATCTAAGTACATTCAAGAAACTCCTCTTCTTAAAGGACAATCTTCATCTTCACACATATTTCAAGAAGAGGATGATTTATATAGAATTCCAAAAATTCAATCTCAACCATCCAAAAATGAAGGATTTGTGAAAAAGGGTGTTGAAAAACATGAATTTCAATCTCAACCGTCCATTTTGCCATCCATAGTTGCACCACCACCGCCACCACCTCCTCCAATGAAGGCAGCACCACCGCCACCACCTCCTCCGATGTCATCTTCGAAAGCTATCTCCAAGGCCAATGAAAGAAACTCTTTAGGGAAAGGTGTGGAAGAGTCCAACAATGATCAAGTGAAGTTGAAGCCTTTGCATTGGGATAAAGTGAATACTAATGCTGCTGATCATTCCATGGTTTGGGACAAAGTCGATCGCGGCTCGTTCAGGTAAAATCCTAATGTGTTAAATTTTATTGAATAAACTTATATGTTTTCATCTTCAATTGAGTTCGAATTTAGGTTTCTGACAAATGTTAATTTGATCTTTATCAGAGTTCGAACTCTGGTTTCGACAAATATTAATATATTAATTGTTACATTAGTATTTTATCTTTCTCTAGAATTTGAACTTAGGTTTATGAATTTCTTTATATTAGGGTTGATCAAAATCTTATGGAAGCTCTCTTTGGTTATGTTGCAACCAATCGAATGTCATCTAAAGGAAAGACTAACTCAACAAATCCAAGCAATGATGCCTCAACAAAAAAATTCCTTCTTGATCCTAGAAAATCACAAAACATTGCCATTGTTTTGAAATCACTAGCCGTCTCGCGAGACGAAATTCTTGATGCGCTCATCGAAGGAAAAGGCCTAAATGGAGACACAATTGAAAAGCTTTCAAGAGTTTCACCAACAGAAGAAGAGAAATCACTTATACTTCGCTATAAAGAAGATCCATCAAGACTCGCTGCAGCAGAATCTTTCCTATATCACATCCTCATCGTCGTTCCTTCAGCGTTTAACCGCTTGAACGCGATGCTATTCAAATTGAACTATGACTCGGAGGTCTTGGAGATCAAGGATTCTTTGCAGACGATTGAATTTGGATGTAAAGAGCTTAGAAGTCAAGGACTTTTCTTGAAGCTTCTAGAAGCGGTTCTTAAGGCCGGGAATCGAATGAATGATGGAACTTCTAGAGGTAATGCTCAAGCTTTTAACTTGAATTCACTAAGGAAACTCAATGATGTGAAAAGCAACAATGGAAAAACCACATTACTTCACTTTGTTGTCGAAGAAGTTGTTCATTCGGAAGGAAAACGTGCAGTTCTTAACCGAAATAACAGCCTAACCCGAAACATGAGTCGAAAGAGAAACATTAACACAAATGGAAACATCGAAACAAATGTTGTTTCGGACAAAAAAATAGAAAGGGAATACACAATGTTAGGATTATCAATTGTGGGAGGAATAAGTTCTGAATTCAGCAATGTTAAAAAAGGAGCAAATTTGGATTATAAAAGTTTAGTTGAATCAATTTCATCACTATCTATGAGACTAGTTGAAATTCAAGAACTTGTTTCACAATGCGAGAGTGGTGAAAGAGGAAATTTTGTGAAAGAAATGAATTATTTTATTGGAAATGCGGAGGAAGAATTGAAATTTGTTAGGGAGAAAGAAACAATTGTGTTACAGATTCTTTGTAAAACAACACAATATTATGAATGTGGAGGTTCAAAAGAGAAAGAAAAAAACAATCTTCAACTATTTGTTATAGTTAAAGATTTTTTGGGAATGGTTGATCAAGTTTGCATTGAAATTGCACGTGACTTGCAGAAGAAGAATCTGAAAGGAATTTCTGATTAAGCATAAAATAAAATAAAAGCTTCACTTGCGGTCGTATATGCAGATGCGATTGAGTATTGTGATTGCAATGATTGTTGTTACTATGATGTACATTATGATCGTTGCAGTGTGAATTTTATTGAACGGTACAATAATTAGTTCTTCGCGATTCAACTATTACTAGAGTTTTGTTGTTTGGATCAAGTCGTAACGAATCAATTTATTTGAGTTTACTTATCACATTGATCAAGACTATTTCAACAACTTGAAGACTATTTCAACAACTTGTGACATGTTTATAGGTGTTTTTTATTCAAGATGTTTGGAATTTTGTTAATGTACATACACATGTAATTTTATTCTAATTTATTTATTTTTTCACATGAAATATTGGATAAGATGCTATCTAGAGAAATTGACTTGGTATATCACATAGGTAACAAGGGAATCATTCTTAGGAAAAACGATTTGACTTCATGAGCCACTTGAAATCATGCCATGCATTATGTTGTTTTATTTTATTCTCCTAAAGAATAAATCATAATTGCTACCAATTCTCTTACCTAACCAAATATTTGACGTACCTAGGCTTCCTAACTTTCCAAACTCAAATTGCTTCAAGAACTAAAAGTAATTAAATAAAAGGAATTAAATAAGTGTTGTACTCACAAAAATATAATCATGATAACTATTATTTGTCTATTTAAAAACCTATGTTGAAAATATACCACAGAAAAACTATGGATTCAAGTCGCGTATTTGGTTGATCTTTTAAAAATGTGTCGTGACACCGTCTAAATTGTACATGACAGACGATTAACTATGATATCTTCGAGATAAAATAATTTAGTTCAAAGTGTTATAATTATTGATGCATAGTAGATAAGAGCTCGAGAAAATATATTTTATGGTACGAAGACTACTCAAATATGATATGAATACCAATCGTATATGGCACACAACTATCACTCAAAAATAAAACGAAAAAAAATATAAATGAAGCAGAGCTGAGAGAGAAAGTATAAATATTTATTTTATTAAAAAATCTAGAGCGAAAATAGTGAGAGGTGACTATCTTTATTATTAGCTGAAGTCTAAATCAATAAAGAGAGAAAAACATGTGTGAAATTAATGGAATGAGTGAGAACAACACATTTATTAAAAATTAATATAAAATGAATTTTTTGTCAATTCCGGATATAAATAATTAATGCATACCCAAACCCAAGGTCAGCCTGGTCGAGTTGAACCGAACCACGACAAGCTAGGAAGGCGAGGACACACACATAATGATTATGAGATGTGTATTGTCTCCTGTTGAATAATGAGAGAAGAAGAGGAAAGTTGGATTGAACCCGTGTGTTTGAATTACACAGTGGAGCTCATTATATATATAGGAGGCATAAATGTCATAGTAATTACATAATATTCTATTTCATATTTACATGATATCCTAATTATTTACAAAATATTCTATTTACATAACAAAATATTTCGATATCTAACACTCCCCCTCAAGCTAGAGCATATATGTCATATGCACCAAGCTTGTTACAAATATAATTAATTCGAGGACCTCTCAAAGACTTAGTGAAAACATCAGCTAACTGATCATTTGAATTGACAAAACTAGTGATGACATCTCCAGATAAAATCTTCTCTCTAATGAAATAACAATCAATCTCAATGTGTTTGGTTCTCTCATGGAACATTGGATTTTATGCAATATACAAAGTTGCATGATTGTCACAAATAAGTGTTATCTGTGAAACATCCCAGAATCTCAGGCCGTGAAGCAACTGTCTGAGCCATATAAGCTAACAAGTTCTTGCTGCCATGGCTCGATATTGTGCTTTCGCACTTGACCTTGCCACTACACTTTGTTTCTTACTCTTCTAGGAAATTAAGTTACCACCCAAGAAAACACAATAAACCGAGGTGGATATCCTATCAGAAGGAGAACCTGCCCAATCTGCATCTGAGTATCCTACAACTCGAGTGTGTCCCTTGTCTTTATAGAGTAAGCCTTTTCCTAGAGCTCCTTTAATATATTTTAATATGTGAATCACAACTTCCCAATGCCCTTCACAAGGAGAGTTAAGAAATTGACTTACCACACTAACAGGAAATGAAATAGTTGGGCGAGTAATAGTGAGGTAATTCAGTTTTCTAACTAATCTTCTATATTTTTCAGGATCGGAAGAGTGGCTCCCCCTGAGCAGTCATACGTTTAGCATTGGGATCCACCGGAGTGTCAACTGGCGTTGGAATTTAACACTCTTATCTCCTCCAAAATATGCATAGCGTACTTCCTTTGTGAAATCACATTCCCCTATTTTGATTGGGCAATCTCTATGCCCAAGAAATAACAAATTCAATCGAGGTCTTTTGTCTGGAAATGATGACAAAGGTGTTTTTTTATCTGTGTGATTCCATGATGATCATTACCTGTAATGACAATGTCGTCCAAATACACAATTAAGTAAATACATCCAACAACTGAGTGATGATAAAACACTGAGTGATCAGCTTCACATCGCATCATCCCAAATTGTTGAATAACAATGCTAAACTTCCCAAACCAAGCCCTAGGAGACTGGTTAAGACCATACAAAGACGACAAACTAGTCCAAAAGACTCCCCTTGAGCAATAAATATAAGAGGTTTCTCGATATAAACTTCCTCAATAATCAGATCCCTCACTCTGTTCTATTTCCTCACCAGTCTGTTCACCCCTTACAACCTAGAGTCTCTGACCAAGCTTATGACAATGATCACACTTAGGAAGAGACTTTCATGTCTTCTGAAAGTGGCCACAATCACCACCCGGAGCATGATTACCTCCATGAGAAACCAAAGCAGATGAATCAATTGGTGTGGGTGGCACTCCACTGTCAGATGATGATTTTGCTGAGACACGCAACAAGGTAGACCATACACTATCCAAAGTGGGGATTGTAGAAGATCCCAATATCTGATCATGAACCGACAAATACTCTAGAGATAAGCCATATAGGTCTAGAAGCATGAATAAGGATCAACGTTTCTCAAGTTCCTTAGAAGTGGTGGTAGCTGGGGGCAACAATTCATTGAAATCATAAAGGAGACCTTGAACACGACCCAAGTATTCAACCATAGAACCCTCCAAGTAACGAGGGGAAATGATACTTTGTAAATTTTGACACACTCCATATAAGCATTACGTATAATTGGTATAAAGGATCTTAGCCTATGCCCAAACAGATTCGCAAGTCTCATGAGAACGAAAGATCTGTTTCAAGGATGGACTAATGGTAGACTTAATGAAACTGCGGAGTTGGGCATCAATTTTCTTCCAACGAGCACTATCAGTGGCAGCCACCGATTCAGCCTACGTAATGAGGTGATCTTCATAGTCTTGTCCCCGGAGCCATAACTTGACGTCAGAAGCCTAAGAATCATAGTTAGTACCGTCCAATTTATCAACGACAAGAGGAGTAATGATATAACTTGTGAAAATAGGGGCCTCAACCCTTGGAGGGGTATTGGAAGCCATGGGTTCCAAAGACGGTAAGAGAAGTGACAAAAAAGTGGTATATCTAAGAGGGAATATCAGAAATCGGAGATGAAGCACGATTACCCATAAAAATTGGCGCTGATAGACAATGGGCCTATCGGGAAAGCACGATTGTTAGGCTCTAGATAACATGTTTAATAATGAGAGAACAAGAGGAAAGTTTGATTGAATCTGTGTGTTTGAATTACATATCGGAGCTCATTATATATAATAGGAGGCATAAATGCCATAATAGTTACATAATATTATATTTCCTATTTACATGATATTCTAATTACTTACAGAATATTCTATTTTCATTGTACGGAATATTATGATATGTAAGATCTCCTTTTTACAAAATTGTGTGACCCTTGGGGCACACCCCAAGATGACACCCTCCACTAAATAAGCATTACTAAAATGTGTTATCACTAAATTCTGGAACTTATTGAACTTTTTTTAAATTCATACTTTACACAATAGTTAAAACTAATTCTTAGTTCTTACCCATTTCTCCCATTCAAATCCAATAATCCCCCATTAAAATTTTTAAAAAGTGTTTTGGAAAAGTGACTTATAACAAGTAAGATTCTAATTCAACATGTGTGACTCGTAGTCTAGAACTTTATCTCTAACATCAAATTTGTACACAACTTTTTCTTAGGATGTATTTTCTATAAAGATGTGCTTTAATGGTCATGCACATCTATTCCAATTTAGTGAAAGCTCTAGGAATATGCATCGAGATTTCATATGAACCAAACTAAGTTCCACATTTACACAGGTAAGAGTACTCTTCTAACTTGGTACTCGTACATAGTATAAATATATATTTTTCTCTTAGCCTAAAACCTTTGTGAAGGGGTGAAAAACACAAGAAGGGGGGTTGAATTGTAAAACTGAAATCTAAAGCAATTGACAAGATATTTTTATCCTGGTTCGTTTGATCTCAAACTACTCCAGTCCACCCGTCAAGGTGATTTCGCCTCTCTCCAACGAGGTCTTAATCCACTATATTCAACTGAATATTACAGACTGCTTTAACAACTGCTAAAGCCTTCTTGATTCAAACCACAACCCGGTTTGTCAAGGTAACACTTTCTTACAAAGAGATAAAACTATGTGTGTGGATGTTTTCTACAAAACTGTATCACAACTGTGATGTATACACAAAATGAAGCTTAGAAACTAGATTGCTAAACAATAATGGAATATCAGAGTGTGTGGTTTAGCAAAACTGAGAGAATGAAGATTATGGTTCAGCTTTTGTGCGTGTAGAGATTTGGAGAGCATTAACCATTTCAATCTTCAAAGCCTTGTTTTTATAGCACTGAGATGATGAACGTTGGATGCAATATTCTTGATTCAATGCTAATAACAAGCTTTCCTTATTGAGCAGATCTTGTCTGGAATGAAGCCGTTGGAATTTATTTGCTTTCAATGCACAGTACCGTTGCTTACTTAATGCAAGTTCTGGCTTGGC